CATCATCATCATCATCATTATCCTCAGCGGCGCCTGCGTCATCATTGTCATCATCACCACGCAACCAACAACAAAGAGCCAAGTAAACGAAGATGCAGGTGTCACGCTCCGTACCGAACAAGAACCAAGAAAATAATGTCATCAATCAAGAGCTCAAGGCGTACTCCATCAAAGTAGTCAGAACGACTACAGTGCGAATAACAACAGGGAAATCGTAATTAGGCTGATGCGGCGTAGACGACGAGTAAAGACAATGATGTAGACAAAACATGTGCAAGACTAACTAGAAACTGCGGCTCTGGTAAAGCCCAAGCCCTCTAATCCCAAATCCTAAATCCTGCACCGCTGAACCGCTAAAGCCCTTTACCCCTGAACACCTAAACCCAAAACCCCTGGACCCCTTAACCGCACACCCTAATTAAACCTCTAAACCCCGCACACTAAATCCTAAGCCTTAAGCCCTCGCCTACAATCCGGCCTGCCAGAGGACGCGGCATCTCCCACATGGCGGAAAGCTAAATGTTGTTCAATTCTGCACTGCTCGCCTTTTTGCCTGCCTCGGGTTTACTCAGGGAGACTGTATGGTTTTTGGTTGTGGAGTTCATTTAGGATCTATTTTGTGGTCTTGGTATTTTGGGGTTGAGTCTATTTTGGGCTCTCCAGGGTTTTGGATTTAGGGTGAAGGTTGAGGGTATGGCGATTCAGAAACGTTCCAAATCCTAGTTGATTCTGATGAGAGCGATATTCATGTACAAGTGTGCAAGTCTCGGCCTCTGCACAGCTTGAACCCACTGCTCCAGTCCACCGTGTATCTTTGGGTTCAGTGTTTAGGGCGTAGGGGTCATCATAGTTCGAAATAGAGAAGATGACATGAGTTGTGGCTCAGGAAAAGATCGGAGTTGATAAGGAACACCAATACTCCCACACGAAAATGACCAATTTTCGCCGTGTTACATCTCAAACTTCTGTGCCTAACTAGACGCAGCCACTCGCAAAGCTTACAGCTTGCTAGTAGAAATGTCGCACCTCGGGGATAGCCTTCTTGATGACCTCAGCCGATAAGGAGTGTAAGCTGCAATAACCTTTTCGCAGAGCTGAACTTGGCTACTGCCATTCAGAAACGGGGATTCTGCGACATATCAACACACATGTTTGGGCCTCGCTCAGGATTATCGCACCCACCTGGATTTCAGAAGTACGGAAATGAAAAGCTTCACCGGGTCGAAACACATGAGTACAACATGCTTTGGCACGAGCACACGCCAACACTAATAGACTAACCAATCCGGTTTTTCGTATGCCGTTTGTTGCATCATGAATCTTTCAGCCGCTACTTTGCGATCACCACCAGCACACCCATCAAAACAAGGCACGATTCGCTTAGTTCGAACATCCCCACCCTACAGATCAGGATAATAATAATCATAATAATCCTAATAATATCGCCTTATGGGGCTTTGACCTAACGGGTGCGAGCTGTCCTGCACAGGACCTCTTTGGCATGCTTTCGATGTGGAGGGACGGGGTGAGATCTCCCGGGTCGAGTTCGACGACGCGCTGCTCAATCTGCTAACGATCCTCAGCTGAGATCTGTCGAAACACTGTGTGGTAGCAACAGCATGTGATTGCTGCCACGAAGGAATGATGTTCCCATTCATCAAATGAAAACAAAGGGATTCTCCAAGGGTTGGGCGCCAGGAGTAGACTGGAGAATGGATGCGTTTATAAATTCTATAGCAACCAACCGGGCGTGGGCAACAATGGGGAAAACGGTCAACTAGTCTGAGGTCTCCAGCAACAGTGAAAGCACTTGGCCAAACTAGGGTTTAGGGTTTAGGGCTTCAGGTGCTTCAGGGTCTCAATGGTCGAAACTGTCTAAACCCTACAATGATGTGCAACATGGTCTTTTTCCTTGGATGCCTCTCTTCCTCAAGTGCCAAGAAGACAACGAAGGAACCTTGCGAGAGACCTAGGCCGGCTAAGGGGTGCTTGCTGTGGTTTTCGGAACTTCAGAAGAAGGGTTTAGGGTTTAGGGTTTAGGGTTTAGGGTTCAGGGTTTAGGGTTTAGGGCTTTGGGGTTTAGGGTTTAGGGTTTAGGGTTTAGGGTTTAGGGAAAGGCAGAAGAAACAACCTTAAGCCCCCTCTAAACCCTAGACCCTAAACCCCAAAAGCGTTCTGCTTTCTTTCCTGGTGGTGTCAGGGTGCACTATGACAGAATCTCTGACAGTGCGATGGTGTTGTGGAGGCTGCAGGCAGACGTCAGGATTTCTGGGGTCTTCTATCTGGCGGCCCCTTTAGGGGTTTACGGTTCTAAGGTTTAAGATTTAGGGCTTAGGCTTTAGGGTTTAGGGTTTAGGATCTCGGATCGGCTTGGTGCTCTAGAGTTCCACTTGTGCTCCGGGGAGTCAGAGTTGAGGGCTTAGGGTTTAGGAGTTGGGATTGGGGGGGGGACCCTTGGGGACATCGACCCTCTCTTCAGAAGGGTCCCTTTTATACAAGGGGCCTCCCTAGTACTACCTAGGACGATTGGACTTGCAGGTATGATCGATGGTCTTGAGTGTAAATTACATGGGGCAGCTCAGCATTGAGGGAAGGCCCGCACGCATTGCTGATGAGATCTGATCATCCCTTAACCTACCAAAACCGACTTTTTTGTCGGGTCCCTATAAATTCCATATTAGGGTTTATAGTAACAACCTACAAAAAGGTAGGGTTTGGTAGTTTAAGGTCGTTTTGACTGGTGACACTGTTGACAGGAAAATTTGTCTGGAACGAGAAACCCTCGCAAGACCCTACCATTCAGGACACATGAGTAAATGGTTGTTACAGGTGATAGATTTCCGAACATCAACAATCAGAAAACTGTCTTGGGGTCAGGATTCAGATGCATATCCCTAAACCCTACACCCTAAACCCTAAAGTCTTGTGATTAGTAATGCGTAAGGTGCCCTAACGTGCTAGGTAGTCAAGGCTTCTGCGGGTTGCACTGCCTCCACTGCTTGGTCGCTGCTTCGAGTTCAAGACACGTTTTAGGGTTTGGGGTGCTTTATTCCGGGGGTGCTTTATTCGTACCCTATACCCAAAACCCGGAATTCTAAACCCTAAACCCCCTTTGTGATGGAAGATTCGGTGAGCTCACGAAATAACATGTCTGTCTTTCTTTGGGCAGGGGGGGGGGGTTGAAGCTTCCGGATTTCGGATGCAACTGAAACCAGAAGCGATTCTTCCTGAAAGGGTTTAGGGTTTTGGGTTTAGGGTTCAGGGTTTAAGCCCGAAAGCCTTGACAAGTAGCAGCTTAGCGCTCAACCTGCCCAAGTGTCCGGTCTGTTCTTCGTACGTCAAGAAACCTTTACATCGGTTTTTGGGTTTAGGCTTTAGAGTTCAGGGCATTATGGCTTGCCGGTGAATGGTAATTCGCATATGCATGGATTGGAGGTGGCTTTGAGGAAGGACCCGAGACCAAACAAGAGGACAGCATGCTGTTTTCTGTGCGCTCTCAAGCGCAGGGTGAGCACAACCAGCGTCCTGCGACTAACTGGATGGAATTCGCTGGCCCGGCGATCTTTGCGCCCGACAGCCAACCAATCAGCTCGAGTCATCTAGCCTCAGTACGACGTGCGTGCTTTGTCCAGGAGTGCAATTGCTGCACGAAGGCTTCGTGCGACCCATAAGTGTATCCAAACACGGGCTATGGATAGCAACGGTGGCATGATTTAGATCACACGCGGTTTGGGAACATTCGGAAGCCCTTCTTGCCCACAGCTGCATACATTGTGCTCTTCGCAATGAGAATAGGCTTCTGAGTAAGTTATAGTATACACGTACCATACCCAAAAAATATACGAATAAATTAGAGTAATGTAGGGGCCTGATGAAAAAATAGAATAGGGTTTTGGGGTATATTATACTATATTTATAATAAGGAACCCCCAAAATAGTATAGGTAAAGATTAAGGCCCCTGTATTGAACCGTTTCAGACTTCGAGATAGGACAACGAGCCTCTGGATCCTGGGTTTGGGGGATATGACTGAGATCTACTCCAAAGATGTTGAGGGCTTGGGAAGTAGGATTTTTAGGCTTTGGGGTTTAGGGTTTAGGTATACAGACTTCCTTTACTTTACGTTGTCCCCTGACAGCTTGAACAGTTTGCCCAAACCATATTCTACCTGCTCTACATCATGCCGCGGCTGCACCACACCCCCAGCAAATCCAAAACCCCCCTTTTGAGAAACCAGGGCTCCGCTTTTAGGGTTTAGGGTTTAGGGTTTAGGGTCAACCCTACCCCCAAAACCCTGAACCAGAAACCCCGAAGCCTGAACCTAAACCCCAAAGCGTGAACCAAAACCCTGAGACCCTAAACCCTAAAGCGCCCAGCAGCAGGTCCACCAAGGGATCAGTTTTTGAGCTCGCTCGAGGCCAAACGCATGCAGACCTAATGGTCTGGGGCAGTAGGGGTTAGAGCTTCACGCTTGGAGTTTAGTTTTTTAGGGTTTAGAGTTCTCCGTGCTTTGTGACTTTGTGACAGCATCACCCCGACCGCGGCGCCAACTTGCTGCGGCTTCTCTTGTATCCTACACTCCGAAGTAGTTGGCTGCCTTTGCCTTGGCTTACCCGAAGTCCCTAGATCCTAAACCCCAAACCCTAGAAATCCTAAAACCCTAACACCCTAACACCCTATCACCCTATACCCTAACACCCTAAACCCTAACACTCTAAACCCTAAACCCTAAACCCTAACACCGTAACACCCTAACACCCTACACCCAGCAGCCTAAACCCTAACACCCCAAACCCCTGTTCTAGTTTGGGACCCCAGCTCGCCTTGACACTTAATCAACCTGTAATGAGGAACCCTAAGAGAAAGTGCTTCTAATCACTCCAGTTTCTGCATTAGACCGCTGCTTCTTGTTTGCCCGCAAAGCCCTTGAAAGCCTTAATGGCGACTAGTACGGTATTTTGTAGTGCCACCTGAAGGGTCATGGTTCTTGGGGGCATGTTTTAGCGTGCATACATATATACAGGGGCTAGAAGGGGATAACATGTCTAGTTAGTTGTTCAGACCTCCATACTATGACGTACCCCGCCACTAATAGTGATTGCATGGGATCCTAGCATTACACTAGGCTCCTTGAATCCGAAAAGTACCCACCAAAAGAAGGCCAAGCCACGCATAGCCGGGGAGCTTCTCCTGCATGACGTGCATTGCTGCAAGCTCTCCTGCGCTGAAGTCCCACAATCCAAAAACCCAAAACTAAAAGTTTAGGGTTTTGAGGTTTGGGGTTTAGGGTTTAGGGCTTGGGGCCTAGATTAGGGCGTAGGGTTTAAAAACCAAACCTCAAACTCAAACCCCAAACCCTATAAAACCCTAAACCCTAAACCGTAAACCCTAAACCCTAGGCCCTAAACCAAAAACCGGAAACCTCAGTGTTCACACCGGCTCATTTGAGGCTGCGCTTTACGGTTTCAGCCTCTGGGCTCCGGCTGCCCTGCCCTGCCTTGTAATGCAGGGGCCTTAATAATTAACAAAAGGGATTTTGGGGCCCCTTATACTATAGCTAAAATAGGGAACCTCCAAAATACTCTATTTTGGGGCCCAGTGTACTGTAGCCACAATAAGGAACCTCCAAAATACTCTAGGTAATTATTTAGGCCCCTATATTACACTGTAGGCCACTTTCGAAGAAGATCCCGGCTTTCCTACAGGCCCAAGACCTGCGAAAATACACACCTGGCGCAGCAGGAGAGGTTGTCGGCGTCGGGCTCCACCCTCCTGAAATCCCTAAACCTTTCATCCAGGAACTTCTACTTAACCCGAACCCCGTTGCATAATCCCTACCTTAAGAACCCCAAACCCACTTTTTTGTAGGTTCTTATTACAAACCCTATTTGGGGATTTATAGGGACCCTACAAAAAAGTAGGTTTTGGGTTCTTAAGGTAGACCCCAAACTGTCTTTCCTGAGCCGAGCTGCGCCTCAAGGGTGCGGTTACTGTAAGGCAGCTTAGACCCAAAGCAGAAACCTTGCTTCCAGCCGCACCTGCTGCAGGCGAGCCCATCAAGCCGTAGGTACCCATGCCTGAGGCGGTAAAAGAAGGGTTCAGGGTTTAGGGTTTAGGGCGTGGGGCTTAGGGTCTAAATGATGGGCTTAGGGTTTGGTGTTTAGGGCTCAGGGCCCAGGGTGCCTCGCCATGCATGCGAAAAAATTGCATGCGGGATGGGGCCGCAACACGCCCAGGGAATTGAGGGACGCCTCATCCATGTCTGGGATGCTGAGTTGTAACTCCACCACGACTCGCGCTGCATGGGCACACGCACTGCGCGCTTAGGATACCACCCAAAGCAGTCCCTTGAAACGGCTGAAAGGCTGGCAAGCTCAATTCCCACTGCCTGTATAGGCCTGTAACAGCGGTTGTGGCTTGTGTCTCCGCGGGGTGGGGGCCTCTGGCCAGCGTTTTGAACGGGGGCTCGGGCTGTGAAAGGTTCATGGAGCCTTCTGGGGAGCGTCCGGGGCCCTTTTTGAGGAGTGTCAAATGAACGATCGATTTGGGAATGAAGTCTGGTGCGTCTCTATTTTTCCAAATTGAATGATTTTCTCTCTGTGGACATATCGCCGCCGCCTAACGCGGCAAAGTCGCCTGGAACTGCAAATTCGACCATTCTCCAGTGGCTACGGTGTGGACCACTGCCGGATGTTGTTTGGGTCCCAGCACCCTAGGAGAGGTGGAATTTAAGGTTTCGGGGCCGCTGTACATCACCATGTGGTCGGTACGACTAAATGCCATTCCGTCAGTCCCATAGCCCAAACCCTGAACCCTAAATCGAACCACCAAAGGACAAGGTCACAAAACATCCGGTTAAGATGTAAACAACCATGCAAATACACATGTGGAAACATATGTGTATATAGGGGAGAGAGGTTTGGGCCTTTTGTGTCAAATTTCGGTCTGAGCTGTCCCTGCTGGGATTTTGGGGCTTCACCCAAAAGCTCAGCGAACGAAGACCCTGACCCTAAACCCTAAACCCCTAAAACCCCAAACCCCTAAAACCCTAAACCCCTAAAACCCTAAACCCCTAAAACCCTAAACCCTATACACCTTAACCCCCAAACCAAAGAGCCGACTGCGGTAACCACCAGAACCCCACTGAGTCCCCCCGCCACCACAGAGGAAGAAATTTGGGCAACCATGAGGGCCGATAAGTGGACGCCCGTCAGGGGTGTTGGTATAGTAACCTGGCAACGGATGCTAGACCCGAAACCCTAAACCCCTGAGTTAGGGTTTGGGGTTTTAGGGTTTAGGGCTTTAGGGTTTAGGGTTTCGGGCTTAAGGCTTAGGGTTTTAGGGTTTAGGGTTTAGGGCTCAAGGTTTAGGGCGGGTTTAGGGTTTGGGGTTTAGGCTCCCTACTAGTTGGAACAAGGTTTCGGGTGACGTTATGCTACACTAGGCTGGCCCTTTCGAGCCTCCCAACAGTATTCTTAAATCAGATCCTCTTACTGTCCTTTGGGGCTTAGAGTTTAGGGTTTAGGGTTTAGAGTTTATAAAGTTTAGGGTTTATGGGTTAAGTTTTTCGGGTTTGGGGCATGTAAAATATCCCTCAAGCCTGCCTTGCTTACTTCAAGAAGCAGCCATGAAGTCTCCGACACCTCCTTCTTGAAGCAATCTTAAGCCACCGGAAACGTGCTGAGAGCGCCCGAGGAAGAGCAGGCGGCTCCTTTCCAGAAACATGTCCCCAAGCCCTAAACCCTAAAGCCTAAACCCTAAACCCGAAACCCCAAGCCCTAAAGCCTAAACCCTAAACCCTAAACCCTAAACCCTAAACCCGAAACCCGAAACCCTAAACCCCAAGCCCTAAACCCTAAACCCTAAACCCTAAGCGCTGACTTCCATGAGTCAGGAGCCTAGAGATCCCTGAAGGTGTGCGAAATACGGTTTAGGCTTCCGGTTTTTCGGGTTTGGAGTTTAGGGTGTTGGGGTTTTGGGGTTTAGAGTTTAGGGTTTTGGGTTTTAGGGTTTAGAGTTTAGGGTTTTGGGGTTTAGGGTTTTTGGTTGAGGCTGTAGCCAGGCCAAACCTTTTAAAGGACAGCCTCTCGCCAAACCTTTCAAAAAGACCGGCCCGCTGTAGCCCCTATAGACACAAAAAGCTGTTGAAACATCACATATGCAAGGGAGTTCTGCTAAACCTACACCCTAAGCTCTAAACCCTAAACCCGGCCGCCTCCGTCCACAACGGTGTCCCGGCCCAGCTGGCCCTCGTACTGGGCCAAGTCAGGCCTGATAGAAAGATGGGGAAACCACTCGGCATGGTTTAGGGTTGAGGGTTTAGGGTTTTAGGTTTAGGGTTTAGACGGAGCTTTCAGGGTAATGTAGGTTTTAGGGTTTGGAGTTTTTGGTAAGCTGAAGGGTCACGTAGACCCGTGATATAGTCAGAAAAGAGAGTTCCTGATTCCTCAAAGAACTTCATACCCAAGATCTCTATGTTCTATCTCTCCTTAACGTTGGGGTGTTTACTCACCCCGGGGTCTACAGTGTGCTGTTTAAGGTCTGCGCTTGTAGGGTTCCAGCTTACAGCTCGGTCAGGGACGAAGTCAGGTATAGGGCCACAGGGTGATACTAGTAGGTTTGAGGGTTTGGGGTTTAGTTTAAGTAGGGTTGTGGGGACTAAGCCCGAAAGTCGATGGCGGCTGCCTCTTTGGCACTTTGGCTTCCGTAGCCTGGCTACTGCCCTGCGAATTTGGGGTGCTGCGCTTTTGGGTTTCCCAAAGCGTCCATGTAGCCTTACGAGTGTTGGTGTTCTGCAGAGTTTGGAGTTTACGGTTCTACCAGGCTTGTTTTTCTGAGGGTTCTGCCAGAATCGAACTGCCCATCTCGTCGAATTTTCGGCTGCTACAGAAGCTCAGCTTCATTCAGATGCAGACCTACTGCATAGCTTTAAGCTGATCCTGCACAGCACTGCTGTCGGCACCATCGAGAGCACCCCAGGTCACGACAGATCCATCGCCAAGAATTGCGGCAAAACCATCGCAAGTGGCTTGCATCTGCTGCACATTCTTCAGCCGATCCTGCACAGAGCTGCTGTCACCGCCAGGGTCAGCATCGCCCCAGGTCACGACAGATCCATCAGCAAGAATGGCAGCAAAAGCACGGCCAGAGGCTTGGATCTGCTGCACATTCTGCAGCTGATGCTGAACAGAGCTGCTGTCACCGCCAGCAGCATCACGGCCCCAGGTCACGACAGATCCATCGTCAAGAATGGCAGCAAAAGCACAGCGAGCGCCTTGGATCTGCTGCACATTCTTCAGCTGACCCTGCACAGCACTACTGTCGCCACCATAGTCAGCAGAGCCCCAGGTCACGACCGATCCATCAGCAAGAATGGCAGCAAAAGCACCGCGAGTGGCTTGGATCTGTTTCACATTCTTCAGCTGAGCCTGCACAGCCCTGCTATCGCCACAATTGTCAGCAGAGCCCCAGGTCACGACCGATCCATCAGCAAGAATGGCAGCAAAAGCACCGCGAGTGGCTTGGATCTGTTGCACATTCTTCAGCTGATCCTGCACAGAGCTGCTGTCACCGCCAGAGTCAGCACCGCCCCAGGTCACGACAGATCCATCAGCAAGAATGGCAGCAAAAGCAGGGCCAGAGGCTTGGATCTGCTGCACATTCTGCAGCTGATGCTGAACAGAGCTGCTGTCACCGCCAGCAGCATCACGGCCCCAGGTCACGACAGATCCATCGTCAAGAATGGCAGCAAAAGCACAGCGAGCGCCTTGGATCTGCTGCACATTCTTCAGCTGACCCTGCACAGCACTACTGTCGCCACCATAGTCAGCAGAGCCCCAGGTCATGACCGATCCATCAGCAAGAATGGCAGCAAAAGCACCGCGAGTGGCTTGGATCTGTTGCACATTCTTCAGCTGAGCCTGCACAGCCCTGCTATCGCCACCATAGTCAACAGAGCCCCAGGTCACGACCGATCCATCAGCAAGAATGGCAGCAAAAGCACCGCCAGAGGCTTGGATCTGCTGCACAGTCTTCAGCTGAGCCTGCGCAGCACTGCTGTCACCACCAAAGTCAGCGGAGCCCCAGGTCACGACCGATCCATCACCAAGAATGGCGGCACAAGCAACATCAGCGCACCGAATTTGAACTCTGCTGACCTGCAAGCTCAGTGAGTCACCGCTCTGAATCCGGGAATTTCTGATATCGGCGCATCCATCCAGAACGACTCCAGAGGAGTCCAGTAGCCGCCCTTTGCCGACTCCAAGTGCGACTTGTGCTCGTTGTGTCAATGTCTTGCAGGTTTCATGCAAGCCTGCTTGCACAGTAGCTGTTTNNCTTCCACGGTAATCGACATGCTGCAAGTGGGCGGTGAATTCCGGATCTCAGGATTTAGGATCTCGGCTGCGGGTGTCGCTCCCGGTTTCCGAATATAGGGGGCCTGAATAATACTATAATCACAATAAGGACCCCACCACCCCCCCCCCCCCCNNAAAAAAAAAAAAAAAAGTAGTGGTAATTGTTTTATTTAGGCTCTTATATGTATTATTAGGGTTTTATGGCGAGGAGCTTCGGGTTGACTTCGATGGCTCCGTTCCGGGTAAGATTCGTGCAAGAGCTACCTGACAACTTCGAAAACATGCAGGTGTGGATTAGGGTTTAGGGTTTACGGGACCTGTGTATAAGATGATGTTTGCCGTGTAGGCCAAGCCCTGAACCCTGAAACCCAAAACCCCGAAACCCCATGAACCGTAAGCCCTGTGATGATGCCGGGACCACAACCGGAGTTCGGTCTAATAACAGATAGCACATTGCACAAGAATCCAGAGCCCTGGACCCTGCTTAGCAAAAGAAACCCAAAGTGTTACAGTTCCTGTCTCCATGAACCAATGGAAATTTTCACTACAGTCTTCGTTGAAACCGTGCAAAGAGCCGAGCAAGCCCGACAAGCGCGACATCGAACTCGAGATGCAAAGCCCCCCAACCCTGAACCCCAAAACCCCCAAGTGCGACCCTAAGCTTCAACGGCAAAACCCCAGACTCCCCCTAAACCCCTTGAACCCCGCCACCGCTAATATCCCGAGCAACTCACAGCTGCCGGCTCCAAACTCAGGATTTGGTGGGGTTTCCGGACATAAGGGTCCCTTATTTTGGGGGTCCTTATAGTAAGGATCCTAGTGTTTAGGGTTTAGGGTTTAGGGTTTAGGGTTTTGGGGGTCCTTATAGTAAGGATCCTAGTGTTTAGGGTACGATTGTAGGGTCCCCTATTTCCGGATACCCCCATTTGTGGTTTAGGCCCCTACGCACTGAACGTGACTCGTTCTCTTTTGCTCGCACTACTGGCATTCGTTGACTGCCGAGTGTTACCACTTACCACTCTGTTTCGGAGCATCATTACCTTCATTGTCATCTTCCTAACCCTGAAACCCTAAACCCTAAACCCTAAACCCTGAACCCTGAACCCTAAACCCTAAACTCTAAACTTTTAAACCCAATCCCAGGCTGAACCCTAAACCTTAAACCCCCAAATCCTGGGCGCTGGGCACCATTCGCTGAAGCCCAGCTAGACACAGCTCGGGATACCTCGGCAAGGTGGAAGCAGAAAATCGACATACCTAGAGAGCCCAAAACCCGCTATGATTTGGGGTCTATGACTTGGGTTAGGGTTTAGGGTTTAGGGTTTAGGGTTTAGGAAAGGCAAGTATACATTTACATCTCAAATCTAGGGCTTATGATTCAAGGGCTACTAGAACACTGCAATAACAATGTTCATGAGAGGTGTAGGGGAGGGGGCCTCAATACGCTTTAAGGTATCTACTTTAACATACTTTAACTAGAGGGCATGGGGCACGGCTTCAATGGAAGCATTGGAATCTTCGAAACCTTGATCCCTAAACCCTCAACCCTGTACAAAAGGAACCTGAACCCTAAACCCTAAGCCCCTAAACCCGAAACCCTAAACTGTAAACTGTCTAGCCTAAACCCTAAACCCCTAAACCCGAAACCCTAAACCCTAAACCGTCTAGCCGCCAACACCGTAAATGCCAGAGTCTGCTTTTCGAAACACGAGGTTCGACAGCACGGAATCCACCCGGACCCTAAGCCCCAAACCCCAAACCCCCTAAGGGTCGTTTCGGGTTCTACAATAAGCTCTTCCTCAAGGGTAGCACAGGGTTCTATAATGCACCCCCCCCTTTAACTTTAAGGGTCGTTTCGGGTTCTACAATAAGCTCTTCTTTACGGGTAGTGTAGGGTTCTATAATGCGCCCCCCCCTTTAACTTTAAGGGTTTAGGGTAAAGGCCGTGGGGTCTGGTGTCTATAGGGCTTAGGGGCTCAACCCTGAACCCTAATGCGCAAAGCCTGAACCCGAAATCACCCCTGAAACCCAGAAAAAAAAAGAAACTAAAACCTAAATCCTAAACCACTAAAACTCCAAACCCCAAACCCCGAAACCCTGAACCCCTAATCTCTGAACCCCTGAAACTTAAACCTCTAAACTCTGAACCCTAAATCCCCACAAAACCGAAAGCCTCAAGAAAAGAGGAACCCAAGGATTGGGACCGGACGTTGCAGCTGGGCCCAGGCTGAGGTTTTAGGGTTTGGGGTTTTTTAAGGCTGCCATGCGCTCCCGACTGTACATTGCAAATAGCGGATTAACTCTGGCTGGCGCGTCGGCGCAGCTACCAGGTGCGATTTGAAAGCCCCATTTTGTTGAAGCATCTGCTTGATTCCCAAGTCGTCCCTTCTGAAGTCCCTGTACTGTTGGGGGGGCGGTGTGGTCGAGGTAGTAATGGTAGATGGGTAGGGCACGTTCTGTAGTGAGTTCCAGCCAATACCTACTGGGGTGTGCCCTATGTCGAGACTTGGTAAATTTAACCCTATCCTTATATCCTGGCGAAAAGACCACGTGGTGTAGAGGGTCCGTCGGCGGTTTAGCCAAAATATCTGTGAGCTGTTGGAGCTGTGGTGTGAGAAAAGTTTGCGAAGGCAGGGTAGGGCGTCCGGGTTTGGGGTTTAGGGTTTATAAGGTTTAGGGCTTAGATGCTCGCGATCCTTGGTTCAGCCAAGAGTGTTTAGGGTCTAGGGCTGAAGATTTAAGATTGAGGGTTTAAGTTTTAGGGTTTAGGGTTTGGGGTTTAGGGCCTTTGGCTCGGGATGGATGAGGCCCTACCCCACACCCTACACCCTACCCCAAACCCGAAACCCGGTGATTTCGGCCCTCCAGCAAGATTCTGATACCCTGAACCCTCAACCCCTACACCCTAAATCCTTAAACCCTGAACCCAAGATCCCCTAAACCCCGACGCCCTGGCAAGAAGCCAAAGGAGGCGTATAGAACACTAGTACGACCCCATAGAACCCCGAATACAACCCCTAGAATCCTTAGGCAATGACCCATAAAGAAAACCAAAATTTTGACGCGAGCCCTGTGAAACCCTGCAAGGAACAACCAGCAAAGCACCAGGCAAAAACCGTACGGAACTCTCTAACCACAATGTAAAGGACCTATGGAATCAAACGCGCCCAGGATGCATATCGAGGAACGACTCGATTGGCATCAACGGATCCTCCGCCCCGCCGAAGGCAACGCGGGAAAGCGCCGGGTGTAAAGTTTAGGGGAACCCGAAATCCTAAACCCTAAACCCTGAACCCTAAGCCCTAAAGGTCTCGTTAGGTTTTGGGTGTAATTAGGGTCTCAGGCCAGGGTGTAGGGGGTATGCCCAGTCCTCGGCAATAGGCAGGTGCTTATGAAGATGCTCCCAAAGCATGACGACCCAGCCGTTGCCTGCCTTAGCGGTTTAGGGTTTGGGGTTCAGGGTTTAGGGCCTTAATGTAGGGGCCTAAATAAATTACCTATATTACTTTGCGGGTTCCTTCTTATGATTACAGTATAATGGGCCCCAAAACCCTATTCGAATTATCCGGGCCACTATGTTTCAAAGACTTATCTACGAACCTCAGGACCTGCGACTCAGGGTTGCGAAATTGTGGCTGAGGGTTTAGGGTGCGGGGTTTAGGGCTTCGGAATTTCAACCTGAGGTTCCGTCGTGCACCAGGTTATAGGGTCTATATACAAACCCGCAGCCGATCTGCACAAGCCCGGTTTAGGGTTTGGGGCTTGATTAACTGCAACTCGGTTAAGGGTTTAGAGGTGGGGGATCCAACATCCTAACCACCCTCTCGTTTGCCGTGGTTCCTCAGTAGCTCCTGAACACGGGTACCCTTTTCCCTGATTCGGTTTCGATAAGAGAACCCACAAACAAAAAGGGCAAAAGGGTAGTACTCAGGAGATATGTTGCCAATTACATAGAGACCAGATCAGGGCCAAGCCCTAAACCGTAAATCCTAAACCGTAACGAAACCCTCCTCACAAGCAGCCGGCAAGACTTCAAGTCCTCATGACACAGTGCTAACCACTATACTGCCGCGGTTTAGGATTGAGGGTTTAGGGTTTAGGGTTTAGGGTTTAGGGTTTAGGGTTTAGGGTTTAGCTATACTAGTGGTTTAGGAGGTTAGGGGGTTAGATAATTACCATGTATCCAAACTCGCTTTCGACAACAACTAATCCTAAACGTTGAAGCCGTCATTAAACCCTGGCCGCTACACCCCCAAACCTTGAACCGTAAAGCCTAACCCCTAAACCCTAGACCAAGCGACCCGCCTAAATCGTACCCTAACCAGGAAATTCCTGTGCAATATGGGGGTTTCTGAAAGTTGGGGACCCTAATATAGTACCCTAANNNCCCAAAATAAGGTACCCCTGTTTTCGAAAACTCCCATATTGCTCCCGTGTTGCCGGCCGAAGGTGTTGCCCACCGGGCTGCTCCCGGATCCAGGCGGAGGCATTTACCTGAATCATCCCTAAACCCTAAACCCTAAACCCAGAACCTTAAACCCTAAACCCTACACCCGAAACCCAAAGCCCTAAACCCTAAACCCTAAACCCT